AGTTCTTCCTATGTGCATCCAAGTGGAAGCACATCAATAATTGTTCAGGATTTAAACCAATTACAACCCAATTAAAAAACCAAAAATTTAAACTAAACTCCTAAAATTTGAACATAACACTAAAGCACTAAAATCACTTCGAGTCCTCCGGCATCCCAAGCTGAGTCTTAATTCGGTTAATCTCATGATCAAGGTTATCAAACCGTTCAAGAATACCCGAATAAATCGACTCGTGCCTCCTAGACATCTCCATTACCGCATCAAGCTTGTTAATCATAATTTGCTCAAATGGAGAGAACGCTTTAGGCTCTGATTCTTGTTCCTGTTCAGGTTCAACTTCTACTTGTGGTGGGTGGTCTTCATCATGAGATGGAACGCCATCTTCATCAGTTGCAGGTTCAGGAGTCGGAGGGACATCTCCCATGAATACCCATTTGTCTTCCTGTTTCAGCATCCCCATATGATGCAATGAAGATTTTTCAATCTTATTCGAGGCATGAAGCATTATCTTTTTCTCCCCTTTCAGATCCACACCTACTTTCTCAAAAATCCTAGACAATAACAAAGCATATGGTATTGGACCATCCTCCTTCCTCCTAGCCTTCCACATACAGTCATTCACCATAGACACCTAATTTATCTTAATCTTTTTCTTGATTACATGCATCAACAAAATGTCATCCCTTGACATTTGAGCATGATTATGTAACCGAGGCTTAATCATCCAGGCTATAATAAAAAAAATTAATCTTGAATTTTTCTTCATACCTCCCGCCATAAATTTTGTATAGTTGGTGGTCTTCGGGTTTCTCTAACAGTCTCTAAAAGTTGTCAGCTCCTCAAAATCTCCAAAGTTGAAGGGTTGGGGCTTTGTACTCCCGTCTCCGCTCAGCCCAGCGGCTTCCTTCAAAGTTGGACCATCAAGCTTTCAATTGCTTCAATGAAAATTCTCATCCTAATTTTCCAATAGACATAGTTTTTACCATTGAAAACAGGAGGTCTATGAATAGACACACCCTCACCATAAAGTAGATTGTTGTTGGCCATGTTTGAAATCTTGAATAACACTCAAGAACCTTGCTCTAGATACCAATTGTTAGAAAAGAATGGCTCAATCCAAGAGGGGGGGTGAATTGGATTCTATGACACTTTAAAAATTTTCAGAGTTCTTAGGATCTTTATTTCAATTTAAACTTTTCTAATATAAATTTTCAAAGAAGTTCCTTAAAATATCTGTCAATGAAAATGAGTCTTATATGCTTTCTTGATTAATCTTCAATAAACTTCAAAGTTAAGAGCAATCAATATTCAACACTTTTATTCATTTTAAAACAATTGTGTTCATACAAACATTGTAATCAATATTATTCTCTTTAACACACAACCAAGATATTACTCAAAGTAAAAGATAAGGGTAAGAGAAGATTGCACAAGTCTTTTATCCTGGTTCAGCCACTCCACATGTGACCTACATCCAGTCCTCAATCATAACCTGATCAAGATTTGTTCCACTATCTCAATGAAGAAGTTTTACAAGCATACCACACATGCATACACCCCTACATTCAAGATAACCACTTTCTTGACCCAAAGAAAGTACCCCTTGTAGAAACCCACTACAAGAATTCCTTACCACTTGAGAAACCTACTCAAGATTTACAATTATTCACAAAGAATTAAGGAACGAATTCACCTGGAATTCATAAACAAATCTTAATCTTTCTCTTTTCAAGAATGTGATGATGATGATGATCTTTTCTCAAAGCATTTCAAAAACGTTTTACTTCTTGGTTTCACAAAGAAAACACTCCAAGAAGGTCACAAAGACTTCACAATCATGTTTTTCTCTTTTTGATTCTCTGTTCTATCTTGTTCTGAAGTTTCAATATGTGCAAACTATTTATAAGCTTTTCAGAACCAGATAATCGATTATTTTAAAGGATAATCGATTATTTTGTTCTTCATAATTTCTGGAAATCAACCAAGAACAATTTAATCGATTATTTTGCAGGATAATCGATTATTCTAGAGAGTGATTCCTGGGATAATCGATTATTTCACAAATTATCGATTATTGCAGCAATGCATCCTTTTTACCTGTTGCTGGAGTAATCGATTGTATTTAATGATAATCGATTATTTTGAGTCAGTTTTCAAAAACTTTGTTTTATGTCTCAAAATATCTTCTTAAGTTTCAAACTCATCATCATACTCACCCTTAATCAGATTAGATAAAGATTAGCTCATGCACAAAGCACACACATGAAAAAATAAGCTCAACAAAACACTACAATTTATGAGCTACTCCTATTACAACATAATAGTCATATTTTTCTTCTTGACTTTGTTTTTAACTTGTTGATGTCCTTGATCAGCTTTGATCCACACTTTGTTATCATCAAAACCTTCATTCTCCAGAAGTGAGTTGATTCACCACTATGAATCTCAACAATGTAGACAGTTTACTTTCAAACTCTTGGGGTTAAAACCCCTATTTCTATAAATAATTGTAATAAATATATTATGTAAATAATCAATAAAAGGGGGGAATAAATACCCAAACTATTATTCTTTATTATGCTAATTTCGTACCAATTTAGAGCATTGAAGGGGTACCTAATACCTTCCTTACACGTAACTGACCTCCAAACCCAATTCTAACTATGAAGGTCATTGTTGCAATTTGGAGGACCTTTTCTTTTTACGATATTTTGAGTAAAACATCAGTGGCGACTCCTAAGAACCTTTTTTCAAAAATCATTGATTAGGGATTAACCTGGTTTCTGGACATTCCCTAACCGATGAGATTTTCAAACGAAAGTTCAAACCATATGTGGGTAAGATCGAAATTTTTCGGGTTCTGATAGTCTCATATTAAAATTTCTTGCTTATTATATTAATAGAAAATAAGATGTAATATCAAATAATCATACCATGCAAAAATTCAAAATTCTCAAATGCATTGATAAAACTCTTTTACTCCACTCTTTGACTTGGCATCATCACAAGATTTATGAAATTCCAACAAAAGTAATCTTATTTGGGAACCTTGAAATTTGATAAGTTTAATACTTTTAACTCTATCAACGAAAAAAGAGATCAACTCATTTTGAATTTTATATCCAAGATAATGCTAATGAATTTCATGATTTTAAATGTATTTAAAATGATCTTGTGTTATTGAATCAAATTGTTGAATCAATCCCAAAGAATTACTACCACTATCTTGATATAGCTTTTTATTGGATCCTCAAAAAACTAAATTATGATAGCATGATATTTCACAAATAGAATTATTCTAATTAAAACTTGTTCCCAATGTTCTTTTTCTTTCATAACATTTGTTGCAACTTTTAATCAATTGTTTCATTTTGTTTAACCTTACTCTCAATTCATTCCAAACATCCATGTTAGTTATACAGTAAAAACTATTCTCGTATTATTTAAGTCATGCTAATATGTTGCCCATTTCTTAAGTGCTCATTTGCTAACAATCTTTTATTATTTTTATATTTGAATAACTTATAACAAAAACAATATACTTTCTCAACATCTTTGAAATAAATTATTTATTATCACTAGTCTCATAATTGCTTAATTTTCTAGAATAATAAACATATGAAAAATATCTAAAAATGTTATCTAAAGAAAACGCAAAATTCATTTCTCTTATAGTCCACTAAGATTTTCTTATTCCAACATAAGAAGAAGAAAAAAACACATTCTTAAGCCCATTTAGCTAAAAGAGACATACAACCAGCTCCAAAGAGAAGAGAGATATTGGCCCCTAATCGGAGACTACCACTTTTTTGCATTCTTGGATTCATAAAATCAGCTGCAAGAAGATCAACAAGAGCCATATAGATTAAGATCCCTGAAGATGCTGCATTGAAGATTCCTTCCACAATTAGGGCAGTTGGACTGCTTTCATCGTAAACATTAGTGATCCCTATGCCTATTCCAATCCCCACAGGAGTTGTTAAAGCAAAGAACAATCCCATTATTGTCACAGATAGCTTCTTGAAATTTGCCTGCAATATTCACCATAAAAGTCACTTTTGTTGTCCTTTTATACTTTTCACTCAAGGAGCAAAAGTTTTGAAGAAAAGATCTAACACTCATTTTAATGTATGATACTTTAGTTGTATTACTTATTTTTAATATTTATCATAAGAACAATTCAAGAAAACTTTTATGAAAATAACAAAAATTTAATACAAATAATTAATTTTCTTAATATAAGTAAAATTAGTTATTTTTATTTATAATAGAAAATAGAGGGAATAACAAATATCAGACATGCGTTACAAAGTAAAATTAAATATAAATATTTTAAAATATAAATATATTGAATTATATATTTTCAAATTTTAAAAGAGAAGATATTATTATAAAAAAAAAATAATGAAACTTCTGCATCATTAATATGATCCACCAAAAACTTCAAAGGTAGACCCTTAGTAACAAGCGATTAATTAATCAAGTGAAAAAATAGTCAAAAAGCAACCATTGATCGGTTTATGTTTAGAAAAAAATAGAATAAGTTTGAAAAGTCCTAACCAATCATTTTATATGGTTCATAACAACCACACAACACACATATGGTTTCGAACTCTCAGTCACAAGTCATTTCGCAGAAAGTCCTAACCATTCGTATTTATTTGTTTCAGACCACTCAAAACAACGCGCATGGTTACAGAATCTCAGTTACAAATCATTTCATGGAAAGTCATTTTAACATGTTTTTAAATTTCTTAAATTTACGATAAATTTGTTTTTATTTCTGAATTTAGTCCATGTAATATAAAAATAAATAATATTTTAGTTCCTCAAGATCAAATACAACATCATTAACAAAAATAAGTTAAGTAAATTTACAAGATTAATTGAGTTTGATGTGTTACTTTATTAAAAATGACACGAATAAATAAATTTACGTGATAGATTCCAAGATTCAATAAATTTTATGCAAGTGTTGTGAAGCAAATTCATTAATAATATTTTATTACTAAAATTTTTCTTATTATATGCGACTTTTCCTGCGAATTTTGTATTAAAATCTGCAATAAACATTATTTCTATGAATTTTTCTGCTAAATTTATATCCAGGTAATACTTTCGTGAATAATATGTTTTTACAAATTTTAAAACTCGCAGAAAAGTTTTTTGCGAAAAAAAAAATCGCAAGAAAGTTTCCTACAAATTTTTTCGCAAGAAATTCTGCAGGAATATTTTTTCCAAAAAGATTATAGAAATTACTACAAATTCTATCAATAATTCTTCAACTTTCAAATATTCAATGAATTTATCCGAAGCATTTGTCTCCACGCCTCCAACATGTGATACATAATCTTTTAAACTCTAAGATTGTAGATTATAAGTCTAACACTCAACCATACAAATCAACTTGTAAGGTAAGTGTTTCCCCAACTTATATACTTTTTAATTGTATTATTTTTAATTGATGTGGGACTTGAAGTTTTTTAAAATATTAAACTTATACATTTAAATATTTTTTTGATTTTTCCTGCAGATTAAAATTCACAAGAAAATTCGTAGGAAAAGTTACATGTGAATTAAAATTGGCAAGAAAAGTTACCTGCAAAATTTTTCTACCATTTAGTAAACATTACTTGCAAATTTATTTTTGCAAGAAAATTTGCAAGAAACAAAATAAAATTCTTACAATATTTTTTGCAAATTTTGACCATGAAATTTTTTTTCTATTTTCTTTAAAATTGTAGCAAAATTTGCAAAAATTTCTTGTAGATTATTTTTCATAAAAAGATTTGTAAAATATATCTGTAAATTATTTTTTGCAAATAAATTCGTAAAAAAATTTTGTGAAATTATTATTGCAAGAAAATTTGCAAAAAATTCTTGCGAATATTTTTTGTTATTGAAAAATTCGTAAGAAAATGACACTTTTTTTTAGTAGTGTTTGGAAAGCGTGATCGAAATAGATAGATTATTTCAAATTACAAAGTTAAAACGTTAACTATAAATTTGTGGGATCAATATAAAATTTAGCTTGATTTATATGTATAGAAATTCAGTTGGTCCGTTATTCATTAAAAATTAATTAAGATGTCATATATACCAATTTCAGATAATGAGTAATATAAGTAAGTACCTGAGATATACAACTTCCAAGTCCCATGCCCTCAAAGAACTGATGAAAAGTCAACGCAGCTACCAGTGGTCTTATTGTTTTGGGACTCTCTGAAGCTCCCAGAGAAATTCCAATGATGACAGAATGAACTATAATTCCAAGCTCCAACACCTACAATAAATTCAATATCATCAATACCAATTCAAGTGGATTAAAAATATAAACATTTATCAAAGAATATGAAACTCAGAAAATAAATCATACGGTATAAATTAATATTACAATTCAATTAATAAAATAATTCTTGATTGATATATAACCGGTATAACTTTTTATACTCACTAAACTCATTTAAATTTATTGTAAATTTATAACTCATCATCTTGCACAATATGATCAAAAATTGAGGATTTGATTCCTCTAGACTAAAAAATAAATGTGTAAAGTGAAAAAGGTAAACACATTTAAATAGATTAAAGTTAGGAAGCGTACGATAATTCAAATCAATTACTATATTTTTTTTTCTCTTTGTACATTTCTTCAATTAAAAGAGAAGCATCTAAAAACTGAATACCGGCTGCGAAAAAAATTAAAACTTATCAATCAAGGATATGTGAATTCAAAGCTCCAATTTATAATTTATATCCCACATAAAATTATATTCTGTAATTTTTCACAAGCAGTGTGAAGAATCACATCACAATATTCCAAACGCAACTCCAATTTAGAACCAAGTTTAGAAGACTATAATCTAATCTCTCTTGAGCCTCGAGAATTGTGATTATAACCACAAATTAAAACTAAGTAGATAATTGTGACTATAATCTAATCTTCTTTAAGGCTTAAGAATTACTTAATAGTCAACCTTTTCGGTCAGCGAGAGATTAGTAGAAAGCACAATAACACAAATAAAAATTAAATTCGAATATGTACCTGTGATATGACTCGATGACGAAGAAGTTCGGAGGAATGATCATGAGAAGAAACATGACCATGTGCATGACCATGAGTTGCATGTGTGTGAAGATGCACATTTCCTTCATGGCCATGTTCCTTCTCGACATCAGTGGCCTCCTCCACAACTCGTGTCCCTTTGAAGTTTTGCTTTTGAAAATAAGCAGTGGCATAAGTCTCAACCATGAGGGTCCCCATGGCAGTGCACATGGCCACGAAGCCAGTGAAGGGAAAATCGCTCCATGGATGCTCTTTCAAACAAGGCGAAGTTAAGTTTTCAAAGGCATCTGGTAGAACGTGAATGAAGCCGGTGGCTAATATCACACCCGCAGCGAAGGCCTTCACGAAGAAGAAAACGTCCTTCTCGGGACTCAACGCGGGTATAATCTTTCCAAGGAGTGGAATAACCACCCCAATTGCACTAGCTATTAGTATTGACACCAAAGCTGCTATTTTGTACCTTAGGGCTTTCCCTTTGTCGCGTTCTTCGTCTTCTTCGTCGCATGTGCACTTGGAAGCAACTAGAGTTGGAAGTATAACCAATACCACCATTGAAAAAATCAACACTTTCTTAGTTCTCTGAAATTTATCCATAGTGGGTGAGACTAGAGAGAGGCAAATTAAGACTTGTTGTGTTAGTGTAGCGAAGGGAATTGGACAAGTGATGAAGAGTGATATTGAATTTGTGAACGGACTTAGGTATTTTAAAAGATATTTGAAAGTATATACGACTAAATCAATGGTGAATATTATATAGTTTATTGTGATATTTTATAATTCATATATGATTATTTTTATGGCTTCAAAAAAATGTCGTAAAATGTCGACATGATATTGTAGCAACCAATTAAAAAAAGGGTTGAAAAGCTTTAACGTAGAGAGTCCTCTCAGGAAAGACAAAAACTGTGTCCATTGTGTCGAAACTCAAGTCAGAATGTGGAAAGAAGAATAAAAATACAGATAGAAAAGTCAACGAAATCGGTTTCAATGTTTGAAAACAAAATCAAGATCGACAGAGGCAGAAAATAATTAAGCAACAAAGATTGGGACCACCAAATAATCATAATTAGAAGAAATTAAACTATCAAAATAGACCGCGTTTAATTTTTTTAGTATAGCAGATATACACTATTAATTAAAAGATTAGGTTAAATATATTTTTGTCCATCAATATTTTATTATTTGGTTTTAGTTTCTATTTTTTTTTATTTTAGTCTTTTAAATTTATATAATATTTATTTTAATTATTTTTAAATATTGTTAAATTTTGTTGTTAAAATAATTGAGTTCAGTATCCAAATCATTAATAGTTTTACGGATATGTAATTTTTTACTTTAAAATATTAATTATTTTTTGGTTAAGTTAATATTTAAGGTCAAAATTAATTTACCCAAACATGAAAGTTCTAGAAGTATTTTATTTTACTTTTTGTTTCTTTATTTTGCTTTCACCTTCAATGGAGGAAGTCAAAGGTTTCTGGTTTCTAAAAGACAACACTTTGAGGCTCAAGATATACTACTAGATTTCTCTAATTACACACAACTTTTTCTATGAAATTTTCATAAAATTTTGCAGGAAACATTGTTCCTACAAACTTTTCTGCGAAATTTTATTTGCAGGTAATACCTTCGTGGATAATATATTTTTGTGAATTTTAAAAATTGCAAGAAATTTTCCTGCGAAACTTCTTGCAAAAAAAATTCGCAAGAAAGTTTCTTGCAAAAAAAAATTCGCACGAAAATTTATAGGAAAGTTTCCTGCAAATTTTTTCGCAAGAAATTCTGCAGGAATATTTTTTACGAAAAATTAAAGAAATTACTATAAATTCTATCAATAATTCTTCAACTTTCAAATGCTCATAATGAATTCATCCAAAGCATTTGTTTTCATGTCTCCAACATGTGATACATATTGTTTGGTAGATAACTAAACTTTTGAAATTAAAATCCCTACAAGTGGAAATAAGATCCTCTTCTAAGCATAACCTAGAAGGAAATCCTAAACAATTTTGAAACATATTGTTTGGTAGATAAAAAGATAATGTCTTGTGAAATCCGGAAGTTAGAAATAATTTTAGGAGTATTCTTTATAATATTTTGTGATGGCTTAATGAGACAACAACTTGAGTGAATTTTAAAACTTTTAGTGTGCAAATGTCCAGTAGTAAAATGTGCACATAAAATTCACTCTCATGCTCAAAACATCAAACAATATATAGGCATACAAGTGCACTAGGAGATATTTCAAATTTGGCCAAAAATTTCAAGGTAAAGATGTGCAAAGAATGTAATCACACATGATATTTTAGGAATGTAGAACATGCTAGAACTAATTAGCATGCATGATTGACTTCTCTAAATCACATATAAGTCATGGCCAATTCATCAAACATATGGCATGCATGTCATATTTTTCTCATTTCAATGGTCAAGCATAAAAACTTGGAATTTTTTTTCAAGGTAGTTCAAAGAGACAAGCTCATGACAAAACCGGATGGATTAAAAAAATAAAAACATT